CACATTTGTTCCAGTTCCAGAAGCGTTTCACTCGGGTATACGGTATATCTTCTGTTCTGTACTTTCTGAGCGAAACAGTATCTTAGATGTCAGACAGTTTAGTTCATTTGCACACAGGATCAACCATCCAATAAGATGTGTCCAAACGTAGTAAACAACAGGAAACATGATCGCCACACGTAAATCTCGTCTGAAACATTGAAACACACATTTCCTTCACGGCTTCGCACTTCTTGGAGGTATGCTATAAATAAGAAATAGAAGTGAAATGTTACAGGTTTTTTTTTTTTTTAATTAATTATGAAGGTTTGGACCCGAGGAGCTGAAGAACGGTTCAGTCAAGCGAATGCTAATCTTTGCCACCAGGCTAGTCATTCACAGAGTGACTTAATTAAAAAGCATCTTCGTTATGGAATGGATGCAGGTGTAGAAACCAGTGAGGTTTTTCTTTTCTGATAGATTCAGAAAGCCTGAAGGAATCCTTCACCCGTCCCTTTCCACAATTGAAAACAGGATGCATAACAACATGGAGCCTTTATAGCCAGCGTTTTATATTTTATTTATAATGGTGCATTGAATTCTTAAAGGAGTAGTTCACTTTAAAAAAAAAACTTTTGCTGATAATTTACTCGCCCCCATGTCATCCAAGATGTCCACGTCTTTCTTTCCTCAGTCGAAAAGAAATGAAGGTTTTTGATGAAAACATTCCAGGATTTTCTCCATATAGTGGACTTCAATGGGGTCCAAACGGTTCAAGGTCCAAAAGAGAGTTTCAGTGCAGATTTAAACGACACCAGACGATGAATAAGGGTCTTATCATGCGAAACGATCGGCCATTTCAAAAATAAATAAAGTTTTATAAGCACAAATGCTCGCCTTGCTCTGTTCTGTGATGAGCGTTCGCGAATCAAAATGAAAGAATCTTTTTTCGAGTCATTTAGTTCGTTGAATCCACCAAATGACTCGAAAAAAGATTTGTTCATTTTGTTCAGCCCTTTGAAGCTGCACTGAAACTCTCGTTTGGACCCCATTGAAGTCCATTATATGGAGAAAATCCTTAATTTCTTTTCGACTGAAGAAAGAAAGACGTGGACATCTTGGACGACATGGGGGTGAGTAAATTATCAGCAAAAGTTTTTTTTAAAGTGAACTACTCCTGTAATGCCTGTGCGTTTCACAATAAAGGACAGTTAAAGTTGGTTAGATGGCATAATAATCTGACTAAACCCACTGAGAATGTGTGGTTTACTATAGTAACCCGAGTGAGTAATGTGCGTTTAACAAGACATTGATATCCACTCAGGTAAGGAACGTTCTGCCTTTGTCTGGGAATCTGAATGCCGGCCTGATTTTTCGAAGGCTACTATTATATTAAACTATTATTGAGTCGAGCCATTGAAATGAATGTATTGAGCCGCTGCTGTCCAAGGTCCTGAATGCGAGGAAGGGAACTCTCCGTGGTGCTGACATTATACAACAGAAACTCTTATACTCCTTTAGTTAAGAAAGATACATGTATTTATTGTGTTTAGTTAGTTTGCGCTGCAGTGAAATCCTCTCTGGGTTTGATAAAGAACATTTAGTGAAGACCTTGAGCATTTGTGGGATGCGTTTCACCACCTATTCTCCCGGTACAAAATTACATGTTCATTTTCGAGAAACGCTGAAGATTTTACGTTGAATTTGCATTCCAGATGTTTCAAAGAACAACTTGTGTGTTTGAATTTGGAAGGAAATTCAAGCGGCTAATTGTAATAAATGACAAAATCAATTAATCAATTAATAAAATTACAAATTTACCTCCTATAATTCAGTTCAGTTCAATTACGAAGCAAATTTGAGTGTTTAGTGATGCAGAAATATGTCTGAATCTTTTGGTCCTCGTTGTATGAAGGTCATTTATCACTGATGTTCATTGTCTGGTGACTATTTGCACATTTCTGTAATGCCATATTTCTGTATAGAGTCTTAAAGCCGAAATCCTCTGCTCCATCACTTGCATGTTCTCGCTGTATATCCCACCTCATCTCTTTCCCACTCTCCGGCCCTGTGTGAGGTCTAGATATGTCTACATATCTGTGAATCCCTGTGGTGTTTGAGTGACGGGAGAACAGTGCGTTTCTGCATTAGCCACAAAATCTCCCAAATCTCCTGCATTCTGCCGGTCTGCACAGACAACAACAGGAATGTGGGTGTAAAATGCATTGAATTTGCATTGAAAATGCGTCCATTGCAGAATTTTGTTATTGATTATCATTTAAAACAAATGAGTTAAAGGGATAGTTATTTTGAAATTAATTTTTGGTTAATTCATCCAAGATGTAGGTGTCGTTGTTTCCACAGTATTTTCAATTTTGATATTTTTAGGTCTGTCAGTCGTATAATGCAGGTCTATGGTCACCACCGATATAAATACTGTTGGTTTTCTCACACAAACCGCTCGTTTCGTGTCTTAGGCCATTAATGTGTACTTACATTTACGAGTCATTGAATCATGTTTAATTTGGACTTCTCTGTGCATGCTCTTTGAGGTGGTGACCATAGACCTCCATTATATGACTGACATACAAGAATGGTTTGACCTAAAAATATCAAAATTGAAAATACTGTGGAAACAAAGACACCTGCATCTTGGATGCCCTTGAGGTAAGATAAAACACACCAAAAGTGAAGTAATGCATCTTGGTAATTTACAATATTGATGTTTTACAATATAAAATAAACCCAAGTAAAGTGTGATGTTTTATAAAGAAACACTAAACAACTTTGTAAACTAGCATAAGTGTTTTAATACTTTTTCACTTCGGCTCATCGTGAACATGCCCTTAACTCTTCCATATGAGTTTTTATGTAATATTAAGCAGCCGTGTTTAAAGTGGAGGGAAGTTTTCATTAAAAACCTCGCTCACGACTCGCTCCGGCTTCAGGTTCAGAGAGCAGAGCACCGTGGAGCCTAAATGAATGTGCTCATGTTCACAATCAGTCATAAGGACACGAGACTTATTGTTTAGTGTTAGTGTAGTCCTGTGTAAATGGAGGGTGGTAACATCTTTATTTTACAGTTTGGGTGACTGAGTTGATGTTGAATCCATTACAAATATCTAGGCTAAATGCTATTTAATGTCAGGCTCCCATCGTGACAACTTACCCCATGTAACGGCTTCCTATGAAAGCTTGTTTCCGCCACAGAATAAAACATTAAAAAGGTTATCTCACAATTTTGAGATGTCAGAATTGCGTGAAACTCAAGAAAAAGTCAGAATTGTGAGATATAAACTCGTAATTGTAAGATTAAGTCAGAATTGCATTATATAAAGTTGCAATTGCAAGAAAAAAAGTAAGAATTGTGAGATATAAACTTCAAACATTCTCGCAATTGTGAAGTATATGACATTTTCTCACAATTTCGAGTTTATATCTCACAATTCTTACTTAACTCACTTAACACAATGACTGTTTTCTATCACTCAATTCAGGCTCACAAGTCTAAATCTCTCAATTGTGAGAAAAAAAAATCGCAATTGTGAGATAAAAACTTGCAATTAACTTTTAATATGCATTATTCTGTGGCGGAAACAAGCTACCATATTTTTTATGTCCATAAATTTTGGCTTTTTAAAACCCAATCCTACCCAGGGAATTGTGACAACTAGCCCCTATCCCTATTTTTACATAAGTTTACAATTTTTAAATTGTATTATTCATTTTGTTTGTATGACATAAACTGTGTCACTACAGTAGACAAACTGAGTTATATACTTTATATTTTCAATGTTTTTGAAAGTCTCTTCTGCTTACCCTGGATTCATTAATTTAATCAAAAGAAAAAGTAATACTGTGAAACATTGCTACAGTTAAAAAAAACTTTTTTAATAATTCAATATATTTTGAAATGTGATTTATTCCTGTGATCAAAGCTGTGCTTTTTAATAGCCTATTATTTGTGTAATAATTGACAACAAATTAACACATTTGCCAAATTTGATTTGATTATTGTTTCATTTGCAGAAATCATTTAGGATTAATTATTATTCATCTATTTATCTACAGCCTTAGTTTTTAAATAATTAAATGTTATAGATTCTGTAGTAAAACAAGGGTCAATTTTGCAGTTACTACGGTTTTACTACAAAAACATTTAGTTACTGTTGTTTAAAAAACATGATTACTATATAGCAGTTTATACAATGAGGTTCATTAGGTAAAATTAATGTATTTACTAACAATGAGCAATACATTTGTTACTGTATTAGTTAATCTTTGTTAATGTTAGTTAATCAAAATACAGCTGTTCAGTTTGTTCATGTATTAACTAATGTAACCTTAATGCAATCAACAAGTGCAGTCAAATACAACCTTTGATTTTAATAATGTATTAGTAAATGTGGAAATTAATATTATGATTAATAAATGCTGTTGAAGACGTATTCATTATTAGTACATGTTAACTAAGGTAGTTAACTAATGAACCTTATTGTAAAGTGTTTACATCTGGAAGACATATTTTTAAGAGTGTTCATCAGCAAGACGTCTATAGAACGTTTCCTGTCAGATGTCAAATAGACGTCTATTAGATGTTCATCTTAGAGACATCTTCTAAACGTCTATTTGACATCTGCAGGAAACGTCCTATAGACGTCTTGCAGATGAGCAAACACTCTTTAAAAATACGTCTTCCAGATGTAAATAGGACATCAAACAGCCTTGTGCTATCTGGGTTAACGTTTAACCATGGTTAATATTCATAAGAGGAGTGACAATGGAGGGTGATCGTGCGGGAAATATTAATAATTAGTTTTGATAACGTTGTTAATAATTCCTGGCCCTGAATCATCTCGAAGCATTTCATAAACTATGCAGGTAAAGCATGTGGAATCGGCAGGTGAAAATCCGCTATTGGCACGTGTGCAAATCCACCCCTCGTCCTCTCGCGCACTACACACACACACACACACACACACACACAGAGCAGTGTTGTGTTCAGCTCTCCGTGAGTGGACTGTTACCGAGGATAGGGAGGGACTCGCAGATGCTCTTCATGAGGAGTAGAGCAATACATCAGCGACTCCAACGCGGTGCCAAATGTTTTTAATTCGGTTTCTGCGCCCGTTTCCCGCAGGATGCCATTTGGAAGAGAGAGAAAAAAATGCGCATATGAAATAAACGTGGGTGGGATCCCTTCTGCGTTGGACACTGGATCTATGATAACGAAACTGCGAGCTGCATTTGCAGAAATGTTGGAAAATGTGTCTGTATGCTGAGCAAACCGGATGGGCTTTACTGAGGGAAATAGCGCCGGTGTGAATGAACGCTTTGTCCTTTGCGTCTTTTTTCAAGCCCTCGTTCTCTACCCGAGAGGATTGTATCCGCATTTCCCCTCAAATGGTGTTATTTTCATGTTCATGCACTAAATACGACGATATCGGACTGTTTTTACCTCAGTCGCTGTGTTTCCTTCCTCTGAGGTGACCCGACGTGAGGTGAAAAGTCTGACTGGACCTCCTTCAGAAGTAAACCATCAACATTTCTGGATTGTTCGAGGATTCCTCTTTCTAACTCTGTTTTCGGAGGCTAATAATTCTAGTTATGGATTAAATCGTCTTTATTAATCGTCAGTGCTGAAGCGAAAGCCTGTTGTGGGATTTCAAATGAAAGCTCGTTTGATTCGAGGGAGCCGTTTGAAATTAAGAACCGTTAAAAAATTTCCGTTATTTCCCGCCACATTCTGCATTCGAATGAGATTCCCTTCTTAATCAATACATTCATCGTTTTATGTATATTATAAAATAGATTTATCCCAGTGAGAATATTGTTACGAGACTCTGGACCCAGAGGAGGAGATTTAGACATCATCTATCGGAAGATCTTGGACATTTCTGTGCTGCTCTGAACTTGGGAGGCGTTTGGATGCTCCAGGACGGAG